CCCCCCCACCCCTGGGCAGTGCAATTGACTGAAGTGTCTTTAGGCCATTCCCAAAGGGAGAATATTAACATGTTCTTATGCACAGTAGAATTGTAAATGGGCTGATTTATCAATGTCGTGCTCATACTGTGCCGGAACAAAGTAGGGGAAACTGCTGCTTTTTCTTTCCTTATCCTTGCTATCGTCATTTTTCCTCTTCTTCTTTTGTATGTTTGTCCCTCTCTTGTGTGCTGCTATTTCCGGGGTGCCTTGATAGCTGAGGCAGACTTTGTGCTGTTGAGGCAAGAGAGGTGAGCAGAGTAAGTCTGATTCTGTTTTTACTTTGTTCTGTTTTTCTTTCTTTTTTGTTTGTTTGTTTGTTTGTTTGTTGCTGATGTTTTTTGTTAGGATGTCATCACCACAACAGCTTTGGTCATTCAGCGCTCGGCGCCAGATGGGTAGATAGATAGACTGATAGATAGATAAAGAAAAAAAGAAAGAAAGAAAGAAAGAAAGAAAGAAAGAAAGAAAATAATAACAATATTTAAAAATAGGAGCCAGGCGGGGGAAACTCATACAAAACTATTTAATGAGGGTTTACATCCGCACATCCACTCCTGAGACCCGCAAGGGATGTAATTGGACTGATTACTACTTATTGTTCTGTTTTAATTACAGCCTCATTACATGCATTATCGCCCTTCGTTTTTCCTCCTGCCCTAGTCTAATTTATTTTATCAATCATTTTATACATCCTTTCGAAGGTCATAGACAACTACTGTCGTTTGATTCCAATTTGAATTCTCGTAATCAGTTTTTTTTCTTTCCTCATTTTTTACTTGTGGTATTTAATTTTAATCTTTTGTTTTTCAATATCTAATCAGGTTACATCACAGGCAGCCTAACACATGCTGTTATTTCATTTCAGGACTGCATGACTTAATGATGGATTATATCAAACCAAACATATAGACTACGACATATTGCATACGTGATTTAATGAGCAGAAAGTTCAGAGACGCCCCACTGTCAGAAGGCATCAAGCTGACCTAAGATGCAAACGGCTCTGGTTCAAATCCTCAAGCCTGAACGTTCTTTGACCTGGATGATCTTTTATTGTGTCTTTTTCTTTAAACCTCCTTTTTGGTGAGGAGGAGGGGGAGGGGTGGGTGTCAAAGCCAGTCTCCTGTTTGGTTTAGTCTAATCAAAGATTCTCCACTAGAGGAGAATCTTTGGTCTAATCGGAGACGAGTGTTTAAATCTTCAATAAATATATAAATAATTACTGCAATATTGACAGGGGCGATAAATAAACCCAGACAGTTTCATGTAAGACGCTCAGTGGTTCTTGAATTCTATGCATTTCTGTTGCGTTCGACGGCTAATTATAAAAAAAAGAAGAAAAATAAAGCAGCTCCCCCATCTCCGCCCAAAAAACAACAAAACAACAACAACAACAACAACAACAACAACAACAACAACAACAACAACAACAACAACAACAACAACAACAACAACAACAACCAACAAACAAAACTCGCAGATGTTTCCTCAATATTTGCTATGGAAGCAATTAAGTCGCTGTGGGGAAATTGCTTGACAATTTTTGAAGAACTTATTAATAATCAGTCTCAAGACTTGCTGATCTCGTGGAGTAGGCCTACGTGTGACAACTAGGCTGGGCCTGCCGTCAACATTTCTCCCTAGCAGATCATAGTTAAAACGTCATGGATTGTGTTGAGCATAAAAATTATCATCACCTTTTAGTTTTAGTTTTAGTAGAGGTTTTACGGCTCATCATCATCATTGTATAAAGCAGATACCACATCATTGTATAAAGCAGATATAAAGCATCATCATCATCATCATCATCATCATCATCATCATCATCATCATCATCATCATTGCTTTTCTGATCCTGGAATGGATATAGGCCTTGAACAAACACTCTCCACCCTTTTCTATCTTGGGCTTGTCGCTTGTTGATATTATCCCATGCCTTCCCACTTTTCTGTCCGTCAATTTCTGTGACTCTTCTCCAGGTCCCACATGGTCTTTCCCTTGATCTTTTACCATGTGGGTTCTAATCCAACGTTTTCCTTATTATGCAGCTGCCTAACTTCCTGCTGAGAGTTCCTTCTTTCATATCAAACTTCTATATAGTGCGTATCTCTCCTACTTTTCTTTACGGTATCGAATCCTCGGCACTAATGTCTGCTTGTGCCTCAAGTTCTGTAAAACTTTTCCTAAATTAACTTATTTGTTTATGAAAGACAATCACCGATAGATCACATATTTTACTTCATAATTTCTCATTTTCATCGTAATAGTAATACGCACGACTTACGTTTGTAACCCAAAGCAAGACAGATAACAAAAAGTACAAACAGGGCGTATATTTATAAAGTGTGAAATAGAGGTTGAACTTCTTAATTATAAAAGAATGTTTGAAAAGGATTTGTGCTTATCAAATTTTGGATAAACGTTCTATATTCTCTAAAGGTAATTTGTGAGACACAGATTATGTATGTGGTGAGACTCTTCTTAATATGATGGTATACGTGTTTCTTGAAGAGGCTGAACATGAAAAGGTAAATCGTCGAAACTATATTATCGCGATGGACGAAAAATGAACCGGAAGTATTACCTCGATGCAGTATTTGACCCTTCCGCTATTTTTGTGGCACAGGCGAAGTCACTTGACTTGCTCTTTAGTGACGTTCTTGACACACTACTGAGAGCTCAGCGTTAGCATTCAGCATCCCTGGATTTACTGTGACTGTTTTGCCGAGGTGTTACATCTCGACATTGCTTTCAGGCACAGTTAAAGACAGAGTTAATTTGATGTGTGCCTAAATTTTCCAGTTAACAGTACAAATGAGGATTAAAGACCGAACCATGTCACCTCCAAATAGATCTGGCCCAAGTCTTCCAAATGAACTGAATAAGTTCTCGGGTCATTCCAACAGGTTAAAGCAGATTTTGGGAGAGACCAAGAAATGTTTTGATGATATCAACCAGTCAGGACGTTTCGAAGGAAGTAAGTGTCTTTGTAAACTGTGTTTAAATCGAATTTCCCCAAATTTGTTATGATTTTAGTTCAGACTTAGACATGCCCAGTTCCATTGTCATTGTTGTTTTGAGACTTTGGATCACAATCACATAATATTATTAGATTCCAAGATATCAAGCCTAGATACTAGATCTAGATCTAGATTAAGTTAGGTTAGAGATCTAGATCTAGATCTAGATCCTCAGTCTCAGTGCTACCTAGGCCATTGCCTACTATAGTATAGTAGCCTGTAGTACAGACACACAGAACAGTAGAGAATTACAACTTTGAAGTTGTAGAGGTAAGTTTTAAAGTTTCAGATGGTTTAGACGGTTTAGTTTATAATTTAATGGGCTGGGTAAAGACCATTTCACACCATGAACAGCAAACAACAGTGAACTCCCACCCACCCCCCG